TTTACTTCAAACCAAAAAATTAGAAGAATTATGGGTCCCTATTTTGCATCACCAAGTTAATACCTCGTGTGAATATGGGAAATCAATTGAAAAAATCTGTAGTCATTTCTTGGTCATTGGACTTTTTAGTGTTTTCTGTTTAACTTCCTTTTCCTACTGTCTGTGTGTGTGTGTGTGCTTGACTCGTTAATGTTCGATATTGATCGTGAGTGATAGCTCTCTGACTCGCTATATGTGTGCTGGAGATGTATTGTGTTCATCAGTATCTGATTACAATTTACACCTTGACTGCTCAAAATGTAATTTCATTCAATAATCTTTTTTTTTTTTCTTTTTTGTAGTCGTAGTATAAATTGCATGTGTTCAAATGTGCCGAAATTCATTGACCGGACAGGTTTTATAGTAACTCGTACGGTTTAGGGACTCATCTGAATTTCAAAAAGGAAGAAGGAAAACCTGAAGTTGCTTTGTGAGGTCATTGATCTTGAACCTTAAAGATTAATTTTGCATATCATTTATGTGAATATCTCATGTGTGTTTAACTGCATTTAAATATTATCGTTTCACACTTGAGTAAACACTCTTATAATTTTTTTTAGTGTATGTGTGTATTATTTGTATCTTTTATTCTATATACCATTTTACTTTTTATACCCTGCACCCACATGATATTCACATCCACTCCATCTTTGAAATTTAGCCTTTCATTTTCGGGTGGCAGAATAAAATATGACCCGTTTATCTTACATCCTAGTTGGACCACTAAACCAGAGAATGTTCTCTAACTCGGAAAGAATCAAGACAGCAAGATTCTACTCAGCCAAGTGCCCTCGCTAAAAGCATTCCATAATGGAATTTAATCTTGCGGGTGAAGTTGAAAATGATCGATACATCGAGAATATCGTACATGATTTCTGGCCTCTAGCTCCAATCGAACCTAACAAGGTAAAATTCCCGTGTTGTCTCGTTTGGACACCTTTGCCCATTGTATCATGGCTCGCTCCTTTCATAGGACATGTCGGTATATGCATGGAGGATGGAACAATCTTAGATTTTTCGGGCTCGAATTTCGTGAGTGTTGATAATTTTTCTTTTGGACCCGTTGCTCGGTACCTACAATTGGATCGGGAGCAGGTAATATAGCCTCCATAGGCACCATTTGCTTAAATAGTTTCTTTGTTTCTTTGGAGTTTACATGTATGGTTTTGAGGTGTTTAAGGTTGTGTTTGGTAAGCATGCATATAAGCTAGCTTATAACTTACTTGATTTTCAAAGTTTGGTTTTGGTAGGACGAGTTTTTTTCCAAATTCGAACTTATCTCATAAGCTTATTTGGGTGCCTTTTCAAATAAGCCCGTTGAAAATTTTATTTCAGCTTAGCTTATCAGTTAATTTTACCTAACACTTCTATCATACAAGTTAATTTTTCAGCTATAAGTCATAAGCTATCTGCCATAAGCTCTCGAAATTCACTTAAAAGCAATAACCTAGCTAATCAGCTATAAGCTTGCTTACGAATTTACCAAACATAGCCTAAGTTACACATGTTGGTCGAGTCTGGACTTCATGTAGTTCTAGCCCGAGAAAAGTTCAATTTTGGTATCTCTAAGTTTTACTTATTTTTAACTTTTGATACCCCGAGTTTCGGTTTTATCAATTTGAGTACTCTGTAAATCAAGTTACACAGTACCATCAATTTTCTACTTCATGAATAACTCAATTTTTTTATTATTTTTTGAAATAGTGTTGTTTCCCTCCAAATATCGGAGCCCATAAATGCAAGCACCGGTTCGCACATTCCGAGTATGGGGCTGCAATCACGTGGGACGATGCCTTGCAATCAACTGTACGCCACTTTGAGCACAGGTCATACAACCTCTTCACGTGCAACTGCCACTCGTTTGTCGCCACCTGTCTCAACAGACTCTGCTACGGTGGGTCTATGAGCTGGACCATGGTTGACGTGGCGGGCCTCATGTTGTTCCGGGCCAGGTGGGTCGGCCCATTTTTAGTGCTGAGGTCTCTATTGCCATTTCTGATTGTGGCCTGCTTGGGCGTGTTCATGGTCGGGTGGCCGTTTCTCATCGGGCTCTTCTCGTTCTCGTTAATGCTCGTCGTGTGGTTCTTGTTGGCAAATTACTGTTTTAAGGATTTTTTGGATTGTTGAGAGTTCTAAGGGCTGATTGGATATAAAATATTTTTGTTTTGATTGGATTTATTGAAAAAGCGCGTTAATTTTGAAAAAAAAAAAATATCTTGATTTCTTTATTCTAACGGACAATTCTAAACTACGTGCATTATACAATGGAATGAGTGTTAACTATTATGTTAATCACCACCAACTAGGTGTGGTGATCAAGCCGAGTAGCTCAATGTCTGAGTTCATGCTCATCTAGTAAACGAGCCTTCCTGAAAACCAGCTCAACTTATTTAACTTGCTCGGCTAGTTTAAAACTTCGACTATTCTTGAATATGAAATGTCCATTCACGAACATGTTCGGCTCAGCTATTTTATTTTGAGATGTAGCGAGTATTAACTATCAAACTCTTGCATCGAAGTGAAAAGTTAAACCAAACAAGATGGCACACAGTAAACATTGGTTTCTCGAGGTTGCTCATAGCAGGAAAATTCGAATAATCTTTTTACCAACAGTGCAAGTTCGACAGCATACACGGGTTCCTTATTAGCATCAAAATCTCGTTCAGCAGAAATTTAAAATGTGAAAAACTATCAGAAAACTGATCAGTGCCATACCCCAAAAAAAAAATAAAAAAAAAATGAAAAGGCTAGTAAAGGGAATATCGAGTGAGTCTCTGCACTTGTTCAAAGCTCACGAAGCTCTCTTATCTCACGCGCCATATTTCGGTGCCTTCCAAAGCTTAAACGCCACTTCATGTAAGAACCTGTCGGCTGGTATAACCAAGTTTCCACCATTCTGAAAAAACATGATGATAATGTTGGATGATATTCATTATTTGGCATAAAATGTTAAAATTCACTGTACAAGTCAACTAATTCTTGATAATTAATGCAGTATATGCCGGGAAAAGAAAAAGGACACATTCAGGAACATATGTGATCAATACGACGGTAATTTGCTTTTCTAAACATATTCCATTTAATTATGAGCACCATTGATCAAACCCGAAAACAAGGGGGGTAAGAGTTAGCCAGGACTTTATCCAAACTTAGTTCTTCATAGAGATGGTTCTTGTCTTGTCCACAGTAATTCCGAGGGCATGCTATAACATATCATGAGTTTAAAAAATTTCAAGAGTATACGATACACGTTAGACTAA